TTAGTTTCGAGATCTTTTATAACAGAGTTTCCACTTAGTTTATATTATTGGAATCTATATTATTCGCATTAAGAAATTTAAACTGGGATGCGAACAAGAACCTGCCTTCTTACAAAAGTCGTTTACGACTAATTAATCTGCCTAAACTCCAAAGTCGTAGAAAGATGCTCGGAGTTTTCCTAATTAGCGAGCTGAACTTTACCATCCCATTAAGATCATCTGGACACCTTACGCCCCTTTCATTGGGCTCGTGCAGAACAAACTTTGAAATGCACGACCATTTTAGATCTTTTTGTAATGATTTTAATACACACTTCCCCAACATTGATTCCTCTGACTCGCTTTTCTGTATCAAAATCTACTTACTGAGTGCCTTAAATAATTAAATAAATTCCCTCTTCTTTTCCCCATGCAATTTTATAGCAGCTGATGAACAAATCTGTAGCTCTTTAGTGTAAGAGGCAAGTGTAACCGCGACCTTCCGCGATCGATTTCGGGTTCAGGGCAGTCGGAACTGTTATTGGTTTCCGGTCACCGGTCTGTTGGATTTTTCCATTTCCCTCAGATGCGGCACTTGGTCGGTTGGGCGTAAGGTGGGTAACGCTGGGTTTTTCGTCAAAAAAAAAAAAAAAATGTTTACCTCTGAACATTCCAACGTAGCCTACCTAAGTATTAAAGAGATAAGTTTTACAGGGTTTCCAGCTAACTGAAAGTAGGGAAAAGTAATTTCTATATTAAGTGAGGTGAATTGCAAATAAATAAAACCTGGAACTTAGACTATTTCCAGGAAAGAAAAGTACGTGGTATATCTAACCAGAGATATAGTTGGCTACCATCTGAGAAAACTTTCATCAAATTGAGAATTAATATTTTTTAATAGATCTTGAACTCGAGCCGTACATACAAACTTTTCTCGTACGTTATGGCTCAGTACCCGAATTTTATTTTTCAAATCTTCCCAGAAATCAAGGTTTGTAAAACTATACATTTTGAAAGATGATCAAGCGTGTCGTTTATCCTGAAAAACAAAAGTTTCTAATAACCTGTATGTTTTCACATTTTTTTAAGTTGGTTCAAGCTTTCAACGCAGCCCTCTGCTTCCAAACTGAAATCTTAGAATCAGTTCATTAACAAACTGTGCCCCCACAAGCATATGTTTGTTTGATTTTGAAATTTAGGCCAATAAAACCACTCTAAATTTTACATATAAACATATGTAGACATGTATGTATTTACATAGAAATACATACGTATAAATATGTGTACGTGCTGAAGTCTAGTAATTCAAAATGTTAAGACGCAATAACTAACAATTATTAGAATGAAATAAATATACATAAATAGTTATTGATTACAAAAATCGTATAAGTATGAAAATTTTATGTAAATATGTACTTACATATATTAACATATCACAAACAAATATTAACATTTTTTTCTGTAGTAAATACACACATTTATACCATTGTCAAATGTTATAAAATATCATAAAAATAAATTAAATATAGATATTGGTGGAAAAACCCAATTATTTGAGCAAACTGTTCAATTCGTTAATGAAATTTATGTCAATTTATGGAAATTTTTCATTCAAATTCATAAAATTTATAAATTATAACCAACGAAATCTCCTGGCTACCAAGCACCGCCCTCTGAGCTATTTGATGTCTTTCTGAGACAAGGTTACTTTCCAAACACGAAGCGTCTTCTTAGAGACCAATAATCCGACTACCCGGTCTCTCAAAATTATTTGAAAGAATTCTGCTTCCTAAGATATTTTCTATCGCATAAAGTGCTATGTGAACACAATTTTGGTTTTCAGGAAGTAATACGTTGAGGCAGCAGTCCGCATTCTTCAAAATATTAGCAATCATGCCGGTGATAGCAAAAAGAATATATGTCCGATCGAAGAAGTCAAAGTGATCTAGTGATCGGTATTAACTTATCTTCAAGTTGAACAACGGTATTATTTAAACTACAATTTTTGCAACTGAAAGTGAACTTTTTTCCAAAAATATGAATTAAAAATTTTTTTTTTCAAAAAAAAAAAGTTATTTTGTTTTTTATAAGCTAATCTTTTCCAAAAAAAAAAGGGTTTTTTTAAAAAGTGATTTTATTTTTCTAACTCGGAAAAATTTGGAATTTTCCGAATTCTTCGGTAGTTTTTAGTTCACATGGAAGGGGCACTCATAACAATCGAAGAAAAACTTGTTTCGAATATTTCAGTTGCATCGCAACCTCCATCACCGGCACCGTTTCGTGAGTTCATTGGAAAGTTCCAAATACGTTTTTGTACTAAAAATTGCTTTTTGAAGCTTAAATATATTATATTCATTGTCTGAAAATTCCATTTACTGTAGTAATTTTCTTCCCTTTCAAAACTAAATGCTGAAAAAACTTTTTTTCGAGATCTAAAGGAGATTAGTGCCTTAAGGTCCGGCACAATAAATCTTCGCTTTTACAATTCCTCAATATTTTTTGAGTTATTTCTGCCTAATATGCCGTTTACCGTAAAACTATTGGAATTTATCACTGAACAATTTCCAGTTAAAGCCAACGTTCCTCAAGGCAGAATTCTTGAGCCAATATTATTCATTACTTTTACTGCCGACATCCCAGTAAACCCGAAAGATTAGGATCCTACCGTGCCCACTGATGTGTAATTGGTATAAATGAGAGGTTTAATTTTTATTAGTCTTTGAGCTATCGTTAACCAAGCAACATAACCTGGAGTGATAAATCATATAGGAGGAAAACCGTAGAACCATAGAGGTTATCTCACTGGAGCTTATCAAATAAGATGGAAAAAATATCCTCGACGACGTTCGACTAAAGAAAAAATAACTCACAGAGTTATCCTGGTCTCCAATGAACAAGATATCTGTGGGTTAAAAAATATTTGACCCATGGTGAGGGGCTTTAGAGGGTAAAGAAATAAATGCATAATGTATCTGTCTTGCAAGCAAATATATGTATATATGTACAATATACAATATATACATTTGTCGTGAATGTCGTGATGTTTTTCCAAAAAAAAGGAGGGACCTACAGTTTGTTCTAAGCCGCCTTGTCCGAAATACACTCGGATAGGTCGACATTGCCTGCCGAGGCGAAACCCTGACTAGAAAAATTAGTTAACCATGGTATTCCGAATGCCAGTACGCATTGCCAGAAACTCGGTCACTGGGGCCGAAAGTCATAAAACCGCTCCCTCGTACCAAACGTACGCTTGAAGACGTCCTCGTCTCGCTTATGACGAAGCTTGTGACGTTACCCAGCGTCAGCTTACACAGTTGTCTTCCTTTCCAATATTTTTTTTCTAATATCAACAATTTCCCTCTTCGAAGAACTAGCATGAGTTTTGTTTTATTCAACTGAATGTCATAAAATAGTCATATGAAATTTATAAAATTAGAAGTAAAAATAAACTAAACAACAACAACAACAAGCACTGCAGTTGCCATCTCAAACTGATAACGAAAATCACTTTGGAATTGACTTTATGTATTTAGCAGCAATAACAAATAAAGACTGCACAAGTATAGATCGAAATGAGAAAACATCAACAAAAAATCAACTGAGCGTAGATATGCTCAACCAACAAAACGCTCACTTACACATAGAAAATGGCGATACAGCCGCTCAGAGTAATGTGGCCGCTCAACAAGCATCGACGCTTAGCCAGCATTTTAACTAGGAATGAAAAAGGTTTAAATTTTAGTAAATATAACAGCATTTACAGGAGTACTTTCATATGTATGTATACATATATCTATGTGTGTGGTGTGCTCACTACTACATAAGTGTTTAACTTTTTTTCTTCTTTCGAATTTATACCATTGTTGCTGTTGCTGTTGTTGACTTTTCTTCAACAACAAAATTTCTTTGGCCATCATACGCTGCTGCAGCGACACTGCTGATAAGCGTACGCGCATGTATGTTCGTATAGCTGCATGCATGTGTGCTGGTATTTGCGTGTAGGTTGTCTGTTGCGGGGTAAAATTAGGGGAATTTTTAGGAGGCCGGCCTACGTGCTAGTGTAAAGACAACTTTTTTTTTTACATCTTTCAATTGTATGTATAAACGTGTGTGTGTAAATTCTCTTTCTTTGCGCGCTCTGCTTCACTCTTGACCACTGATAACCACTAGCTGATCACTTTCTTGTTTTTCCTTGTGTTTCTTATAAAGGACTAGGCCAATTCATAGAGCAGAAGAGACAGATAATATTTTCTATGGCTAAAAGAAGAGATAACCGGATTTTAGTGAGAGTTTGTAAGTATGTATGTATGTGTAGCAAGCAACAAGTGCGCGCACACAGAAAAGTCATTCTGTGTCAAACAAAATTTTCCCTCACTGCCGCATATACATATATTCGTACATACATCCATAAAGCGAGCAAACAAGAGAGTATTTTTAACTCTGCAACTGTTGAGTGTACATACATATGTTTGTGTGTATGCTCTCTCTTTGCCGGCACAGCAATGCAATAAGACTCATTGGATCGCCAAGAACTTCACGCACCGTGCAATCAACGCGTACATATACATACATACAAGCATACATGCATACATTGCAGTCAGTTTATCTGACTTTTTATTTGTTGTTGTTTTGCGTGTAAAACTAGTATCTGAGCGTAATCCACTGCTCAACGAAGTCACTTGCAAATACGTTTGTATGTTTGCATACTCGTTTGTGAATGTGTGCGATACCGCATTGTTGCTGTTAGGAGCAACCGCTGCTGCTGCTGCTGCTGCTGCTGTTGCTGTTTCTGCTGCTTCTAATGGCACCTCTTACCTTTTTGTTGTGTTACATTTGCTCTTTTGTTGTCGTACTGCGCTGTCACCACTACTAAAACATGCGTTTGCCCCCGTGTGTGTGTGTGTGTGCGTGTGTGTATTTGTTACTTTTTCGTATTTGCCATGCAGCTCATATGCCCGCGCGCGCGCCTTTTCTTGCTCTACGATCAGTTTTATTTATATAAAAGCATTGCCAACGCGTTCACTTCAAGCAGTTGACTTTAGAACGCTTCTCACACGAGAACGCGTACAAATTTCCCACACAAGTTTTTCGCGCATACAAAACGGTACAGATATACACAAAAAAAAAAATAATTCAACGCACGCTCGACTATATTATAATAAAACATATTTTTATATACGACAAGCGGCGGAAAATTTGGAAAAATATCACAAAAAAGCGGTGTTTGAAAAAGCAATTTTAACAAAGAAATTTTCGAAGAAAAAGTGTGAAACAAGTTTTCATCCAAAAATTTCTTAAGCAAGTGTATTCATCTGCGAATTCGAATCATAAAATTCCGAAACAAATCAACTAGAAATAACTGCATGCGATCCTATCAAAGTCAAATTGAGTTGGTCGATAGATTTACGTCATCGGCGCCTGTTGATTTTTTAGCTTTCGGCTTTCCACACACAAGCACATGTTTTAGTGTGCCAACTCGCTCGCTCAATCGTTCAGTCTAACGCCGAAAGCGTAGTAGAAAAACGTGCGCGTGTGCTATTATTAAACCAAGTAGATGCGAATTTAGAAAACTTGCGCCGAAAAGTAACACTTTTTTTCACAAAAAAACAACAAAAAAAAGTAAAAAGTTAATGAAAAATCACTTCAAAGCAAGGAAAATTGTCAACTGAATTGAAAAAGAAATAAAAAAAAATTTTATATACATTACTGTGCTATAAAAATTGTGCACTTAAAGTGTTATTGCAGTAATTGCAAGCTGAAATAAAAGTCTTTTTTGTCGTCATTTGCACAAGGATAACAGCAAAAACGGCTGCCGCCACAGGAACCATGGTGAAGAATAGGCGTTTTGAAAAAGGTAAAGTTTCTGAGGAATGTAGAAAAGTAGTTTAATTTTTAAGAAGTGTGACTTGTTTTTAAAGATAATAATTATTTGAAAAACAGCGAATTAAATAACAAAAAGAAATTAAACTAAAAAAAAAAATATTTCTTGAGTTTATTTTAACCTTGTTTTAAATAATACGTTGAAGAGCTTGTGACCTGAAAAATGTGCAAGATTCTCATGAATACTAAACGATTTGTTATTTTTTTTCAGAACATATATATGAATAATTTTTTTTTTATTTTATTTGAGTGATAAAAAATATATGCAATTCATATGAAAAGCGCAGGAATTCTGAAAAATGTTTTTACATTTTTTTAATCTTTTAATACAATTTTTTAAATAAAAATTCTAGTGTATTATTTGCGTGGTAAAATTGAGCGCAAATAAAAGGAATGAAAAATTTAAGAAATTATCAGCAATGTTTTACTTTTTAATATATTTAAAAAATTTTCTTTAAAATTATATTTTATAATAATATCTAAATTCCATATGGAAACACATTTTATATCGCAAAATATTTTTTTCCCAAATTTTATTGTTTTGAAAACAACACAAACACGCAACTCTTATAGAAATATAAGTTATCTATTTGTCAAACTAGCAATAAATTTCAAAACCACAAGTGTACACTAATCGCACATTATCAAAACTCTCAGGTGTTGTTGTTGCTTTTTCTTATCACTACTTGTGATTAGTAAGTAAAAACAAATATTTGTCTTTTAATAAAATTAAGTCGATTTTTTGCTAGCTTTTCAACCAAAAAACTAATGCAAATTAAATATGTTTTAAACAGTTTCCAGAAAATAATTTTTACCATATTGTGAAATTTGAATTTCTTTTTGTTAATTTAAAAAAGTAATAACTTTATTATTTCGATTTTATAACAAAATTTTAATTATAAATAAATAATATATAATAAAATATGAGCTTTTAATAAATTTAATCTAAAACACAAAACAGTTTAAAATTTTTTTTGCCATTTTATTAACAAACTGTGAAATACAATGCCTCAAATATGAAAAGATTAAACAAAACTTTTGAAAGTTTTATAATCCGATTTTAATAGCAAAATGTGAGATAGTTAAAATAACTGAAATATGAATTTATACAATAGTAAGCATTCAGAAAATTAATGAGATATTATAACATTTACTAAAATCAATTTAAAAAAAATTTTTTTTGGCATTTACGAAAAAAGTAAAATTTTGAACCATTTTTTACTGTAGAATATTTGAAATCAAGTTTTAAGCATATATTTTAATTGTTTTTATAAAAATGTTTGTTTTGACAAATTTATTTTAATTAGTTTCAAATTTTCAGTGCTTTGATATAATTATTTTAATTTTCTCAAAATCTGTTACTTTTTTAAGTTTCAGCTACGTTTTCATTAAATATACTTAGATATAATTTTAAGCAAATTAAAATTGCTTAATTGATATTTTAAATAAATAATTTCTTTTCATGATTGGCACTATTTTTCTGAAATATAATTATTTTATTAAATTTGTTTCTTATAAATTATTCTGTTTTTAATTACTTTTACTAAGCATTTATTCAAATTTAATTATAAATTAATTTTTTGCACTAAAAATTAGAATACTTTTTTTTTCCAAAAACAAACTCAGCTACTCACAAGATGCTGATAAACGAAAGAATGATGGAGACACGTGACAAAGTACAAAAGTACGTGCAAGATTTTGAATTTCAAAATAATAGCCAATATTACTTGGAATTTGAAATATGGAGAATAAGCCAAAAAGCAACGAAAAAATAAATTAAAGTTGATAACGTTTTCTTAAAAAAATAGAAAAGGTTCAAAGTATAGTTATTTTTCAAGTTTTCACAGTGAAAAATGTATAATTATTAAATATATTCATAATTGTACATGTTTGTTTTACAAAAATTTCTCTAAACAGTTATTACATAACAATAATTTATAAAATGCTTAAACCCACTCTGTAAGATATGAATCAAACCAGGCAATGAAAAGTAAATGAGAACAAAAATAGCCGACAACAAAAAACACATGCCATGAAAATAATATAAAAATACAAATGCATACATATGAACATTTGTTTATTTGTACATCGGTCTAGCTCACATGCCATACAACTTTTATTATATTTATTTTTATTATTTTTTTTATTTGTTTGAAATACTTCATTTCAAGCCACGCTTTAGCTAATGAGCATTAGATATGTACATATATATACGAGTACACTATGTTTCTTATTGCATTTTCTACTTATTATTGTCGGAAGTAAAATGAAGCAGGCACAACATTTTTTTTGTTTTTTTTTTTTTCAAACAGAAAAGTTAGAAAAAAATCGTGTTCTACAATTATTTGCAGTGGAAATATCATAATTACAGCACGAAATTATCTTTTCCGCTTTATTACTTGAAAGAAAATAAATAAATTTAATTTTTGCCGATTAAAATTAAGGGTAGGCACAAGTATTGAAATAAAATAAAAATTAGATTATTAAATTAAAATTTAACTAAAATAATCTCAATATTTCAACAGAAATTATTTCAATAAAAAGGATTTAAAAATACTGAAATTCTTCACAACAAAGAACTATAAATAAAAATTAAGGCGCAAAAACAATTAAAGCTGAAATAAAAATAATCGTTATCAATTTATCAATAAATAATGAAGGCAAGTGTTCTTTGAAGGATCTTACAAAACAATTTTTATTAAAAATTAAACTTAGACACAAATAATTATAAACATAAAATGGTTAAAAATTCAGAAAATATTTATTTCATGATTTAAAAAAATTGCAAAAAGCTAAATTAATTTAAAATTTCATTGAAAAAATTAAATTATAATTAAACAAAGTTTTATAATTAATAAAATATAAAATTTATAAAATAAAACATAAAAATAAACGAATTAAAATTTAAAAATTTACTTGAATATTTTGATAACAAAAAATTGAAAAGAATGTTAAATTAATTTAAATATTTCAATAAATTAATTAATTAATATTAGACACAAGTTAAACAAATTTAATTTAAAAAAAAAAACATAAACATAAATCGATTAAAATTTAAAAAAATTCCTAAACGATTTAAATATATAATGTGGATATAATTTAATATTTCAATAGAAAAAATTAAACTACACTCAGATAATTGTAAAATAAAAAAAATGATATACAGATAATTAAGAAATAAAAAAAATTAATTTTTTTTATAAAAATCTTAAATTTAAATTAGACACCGTTTAAAAATTAATAAAAGATATAATTATAAAATAAAACATAAAAATAGGCTCAGTAAAATTTAAAAAATTTACTTAAATATTTTAATTACAAAAATTCAAAAAAAGTGTTAAAATAACTTAAATTTTTCAATAAAAAAAATTAATTAAAATTAGACAAAACTTTATAAGTTGAAAAAAATAGATTAAAAATTTAAAATGTTTTCCAAACGATTTGAATAAGAAATTTTGAATTAATTTAAATATTTCAATAGAAAAAATTAATTACATTCGGATAATTGCAAAATAAAAAAAAATAAAAAAAAAAACAAGAAAATTAAGATATAAAAATAAAACAATATAATATATTTATAAAAATTGTAAACTTAAATTGGACACCGTTTTATAATTTATAAAAAAAATTAATTATAAAATAAAACATAAAAATGCACTCATTAATATTTAAAAACTATACATAAATATTTTAATAACAAAAAATTAAAAAAAATTAAATAATTTAAATATTTGCATTAAAAAAGTTAATAGAAAGCACACAGAACTTTAAAAGCGATAAAAAGTAGAAGTTATAAAATACAAAGTGAAAAAAAAGTTGCGAAGAATTTCTTAAGTACTTTAATTATAAAATGAAAATATTATTATATATTTAAAAAAAAAATTAAATTAAAATCAGACACACTTTTATAAGTTGTAAAAATATGATACTTATAAACTTAAAAATAAAATAAAACTACATTGAGAACAAACACGCAATCAAGTCATTTCGCATCATCTATAAGTAAACCTATTTTATGACAGCACGTGTCTGGTAAATTTAATCAACAAATTGCCATTTCATATTTATTTGTTAAATTAAATATACAATTTCTATTTATACTTGCATACATATGTACATATTACAATATATGGAAATTCAAAGTTTTCATATGCATTTTTTCACAATTGCTACAGCTAAGCGCTGTGTAAAACTGTTTGTTCTATTAAATAAAAAAAAATAAATAAATAAATATTTATTATTATCCAATATTGCTTTACGCTAACACTCTGTACATATTACAATGATATGGCATGTTTTATTTAAATATTCAACACTTATTACATTTTACAATTATTTGCTATACTATGCAGGCGAACACACATATGTAAGTATTGTAAAATATACACATACATACATACATACATACGTGCAAATAACCATTTGAATGAGTAATGAAAACGCTAGACTGTACTTTTTGCATTCCAAATTATAACTGATATCAGTAATTTCCATTGTTTTATATGCTAATCACATTTGACGAGCATAAAAACCTAATTGCTTACTTAAGCTAAGTGCTCATCAGTGCAGGTACATATGAATGTATGTAGGTGCATTTATTGCGTACTTTCGCCGCCTTAGGCAGCCCTTGATTTCTGCTATTTTCTTTCGTTTCAAATTCTTATCCTTCTAATTTAAATTAATTAAAACGAAAAATTCTCATTACGAAATTATTCTTGCTCTCAATGTCTTCAATATTTATTTGTTTTCTATGTTTGTCCTCAATCACTTTCTCTCCACATATTTGCTGCTACGCGTATGTGTGTACATATCATAGATGATGATGATGATGATGATGATGCTGCGGCCGGCCAGCGGTCAAGCAGCATACGCACATGCATTAGCAGCGACACATAGTAAATGCATAGCGAAAGAAAAATATCATAAATACATATATCTACATTTCAAACACACACATATGCACTTCCATATACC